AATAATAAAAGTAATTAAAAATATTAATAATCTAAATTAATAATTATGATACACATAGTGATCATCTGAGTAATAATATGCTAAATCTAGATGTATTAAATACATAATGATCATCTATGTATCCAGAGTGAAAATGATCTTCTTAAAAATATAATACAAAGCTAATCTGTTATACAGATAACGCAAAATGAAGATCTAAGCTAAAAAAGATCTAAAGGAAGATAATCCAATCAAAATTGTTACAATTATATTAAATAAGTTTATAAATAATATTATTTAATAAAATTAAAATCTATTTTTTAATCTATTTTTTATTTTTATAATTTTAATTATAATTTAAATTTAATAGTTTATATTAAAAATAATTTAATAATTTATATTTAGATTAAATCTGTTAAAAAATAAAAGATATAAGATTCTGATAATAAAAAATAAAAATTATTTAATACTATTTATAAAAAAAAGAAAAATATAAATTTTTATATTATTTCTATATAAAAAAAGATAATAGCTAAAAAAGTTATTATTTAAATATTCATATAATAAAGAATTAGTCAAATTAAAGATATTTTATTTTATATTATTTATTTAATATTATATTATATTATTTATTTAATATAATATTTATTTAATATAATATTTTATTTATTAATTAATAAAAATAATATATTTTTTATTATTTATTTCTTAAATAAATAAGTAAATTATTTTTATTTATATTATTTAAAATATTATAAATATATATATAAAATTAATAAATAATATTAAAAATAAAAAAAAATTATTTATAAAAATTTTATTTTTTTATTAATTAGAGATTAATTAATTTAATTAATAATTATAGTTAATTATATTATATATTTTAAATAATATAATTAATATAATCTATTTTAATATTATATTTTTATATTAATATAATTTTAATTATAATATATTATAAATTATATAAATATATATATAAGTATATTCAAAATATAATAATATCTTTATTTTTTATAAAAATTAATATTTAATTTTTTAAAAAATAAAATTTCAGATTTATTTTATTTCTATCTTATATATATAAGTATATTTTTTATTACTAATTAAATTATTATTAGCTTTTTAATATTATTTTGATCTTTTAAAATAATAAATTTATAACTTTCTCAAAAGCAAATATATCAAATTTTTTAGAATAATCTTGAACTTTTTTATAATTCTTGAAAAGCTTTTATATTTTAGAATATTATTTTTTAATAACTTGTAAATATTTTTATAAAGTTTGAATTATAAAAATATAATATTTATTAATTTTTCTATTTGATTTTATTAATAACTTTTTTTTCTAAGTTTTATTTTTATTAAATTAATAAATATATTATAAGAAACTTGAATAAGTTTTTATATAAATTTTTTATTATTAATATTATGAAATCATTTAAAATATCTTTTTTAATTTCTTATATAAGTAATTTTTTTCTTGATTATTAAAAGTTTATAAATCTTTTGGATAATAATAAATTTTTATTCTTTTTATTTGATTTGTACTTGACAAGAAATTATTATATTATTATTAAATTATAATATATTTTTCTTGATTTAAAAGAAAATAATATTCAAAAAATAAAACTTAAGAAAAAAATGAAAATAAATTCAAATAGAAAAAATCAGTATCAAGCAAGTTGTAATAAATAAATTATATTGTAATCAATCACCTATTTTTATATTGTAGTAAATGTGATATAATATATAATACAGTTACAGTATGTAATACAATAATCATCAATTACTATTAAATCAAATAAACAAGAAATTTATATTAATTAATCTTGTTTATTATTAATTCTATTTTTAATTTATATTATTATCTATATTTAGTCTTATTCCTTTATTAATTTAGCTATGTGTGTCATACTTAATTTATAATCTTATTAAATTAATAATTATCTAATTAATTATTTTTTCTTTTCTTATTTTAGCTTTGAATAAATTAATATTTTGCTAATTTTAATTCTTAATTATTATATATTTAATATTCTTTATAATTATTCTTTTGAAATTCTACTTGTTCTTGAGTAAATTAGGTAAAATATTATGTTAAAAATAATTTGTAATTAGCATAGCAAGAAAATATTATATAAAGAGAGTCAAGAAGTGATCAAGAAGAATAATTAAGTTTGATAAAAGTAATTAACTACTGATTTAAGAGTAGTTAATTAGTATTTTTCTTTAATAAACACATATATTTTATCATATATCTTATCTTTATTTTCTTCTTGCTCTATTGAGAGCATTTTGTTAGAAGTAAACTTGTATAAATTATCTTATTGAGAAGATAATCATATTTTTTAGAAGTAAAATATGCATATATTATCTTATTGAGAAGATAATCAATCATATAATCTTTTAAAGCTATAAAAGTAAATAATTGCTATGAATACAATCACTCTTACTATTTTAAAATATTTACATACACATAAACTTAAAATGATAACAATATTATGAAAAGGAATTAAATTATCTTAAAGAATCTTCAGGTAAGTTTTTGCACAGATTTTTATTACCAATTTCATGAAATGGCTCTGGATATCTTTTTTAGTTTCTTGCATAAATGCATTTTTTTTCTTGATGATTATGAGCTTATGATCTCTCAGATAGTGATAAATTTTTGTTTTTTTTATTTCTTTTGTACTTGGCAAGAGATCATTATACTCATAACTTCCATAAAAATCACTATTTTTATCTTGTCAAAGATGGCCAACTGGTATGACAGGTATCATATTTACATCTAAAAAAATTTCGCCTAGTATATGTTTAAAAGAAAATAAAAAAAATTAAAAACGCAAATCGGGCATGGCGATTTTTGTGATTAAGATGGACAAATATTTGACGGTGCACACAAAATATTTTTTTTACTAATAGTTTTCTTTATTACGACAAGGTGAATTCGCTAAGGTCAGAATAAGAATAGGTTAGGTGAAATCACGTTGTTTTTTTAGTCATGTTTGGTGAAAATCGTGAAAGCGACATTTACTAATTTCTCCCTCTCTATAATCCTAATAAATGCGATTTTCACTTGATGTGTCTAATAGAAAGCGGGTTTCACCATTGATGCAGATTCAATTATTGGGAATTTTTACTTTGTCCGTGGAACAGGGATATTTTGCTCGGTGAATGTTTAAAGTATTTTGTACTTTCTCGATCTTAAATTTATATGTTCCGATAGTTGAAAGTGAATTTCGATATGTAGGCTTAAAGCGTACGGAGGAAAGTTGATACAATATACCATTAATGTCAAAAATCTTGATTCCTTCGTTCTAAAGTCCGCCGAAGAAACATCAAATTGCCAATTTCGTGTGCATGCATAAAAGATAATCAAAATTCTATATGGATTTTCAAAAATAGGTTTATTAGAGTCACATGACTTATGCTTGAATTATGGCTTAATACTGACCAATTGAAGTTGCATGATTTGGGTTTAATTATGACTTGACCAAATTTATCATACTTCGGGTAATGTTGATCAAAGCTATCATAATTTGGCATGTTTGGCCTGAATTGTGGCTTAATTTCTTAATGCTAGCCAAAATTATGTATAAATTTTTATCGAAATTTTAATAATTAAAATAAGTCGATTGTTCATAACATGTGACTCTGAAATTTAAAACCCATGCGTGTCAGGAAAATCTACGCAATTCATATTATTCTTGTTGCGCCCGAGACTAATCATCGTAATACGCTTCATATTTTCTCTACGCGTGTATCATGTTAAATAATAGAATTATACGTGCTCGACTTCAATTTAACCTTCGACCTATAAATTCTCTAGTTCTAGACAATAAAATTAATAGGATAAGAGTCATGAGCTTTTCCTCCAGCCCTAGCAAAAAAAGTAACCACGAGGAAAGAACAGCAAGCATTTTAAGACGACCGGTATTTGTAATATTCAGTGCGAAAATTGGAGAATTTTCTCTTCTCTTTCGTGTCTTAATTACAGCATATTTAATTTAAAACGAAAAGGAAAAAGTATCTGTTGTTATTAGAAAGATAACCCAAGAAACACCAACAGTAAAAAGCTTTGTATTGGAGCCCAAAGTAACAACGCCAAAAATAGATTTTTTACCTGGCCAATGGCTTGACGTTTTCATTCCCAATGTATCAACTGTTGGCGGTTTCTCAATTACGAGTACGCCTCGTCATTTTCATTTAACGAATACTTTGGATCTCGCGATCAAGTATTCCACACATCCCCCTGCTAAATGGTTTCATGAGGTAAATTCATCGACAATTTTAGGAGGAATGAAATTATGAGTTTGATGATAGAACATTATTATCGCCCATTTTAATATAGGAGGCAACCTTGGGAAACGTAGTAGACATAAGAGTTGGCGGAGAGTTTTATTATGATGATCAGGAAGAGAGAGAAAATGGAACCCGTAGGTTAGTCATTCTACCAAAAATGTGATTAGTCTTATTGTAGACAGATTTGATTAAGTTGATATCATTTATTTATTACTTTAGATTATTATTTATAGCAGGAGGAGTGGGTATAAATCCGCTAATGAGCATGCTAGCTAATATCATAGAATCAATCGATAACATATCATTGCAAAAAGAACCGGGGAAAGCAGCAAATAACAATATTGAAAAGATTCAATTATTATACAGTGCAAAGACACTTGACGAACTGTTATTTTTTGAGAGAATTGAGCGATTAAAGAAAAATAATAGTGGTTTATTTGATTGTTTTTATTTCTTGACTCGAGAAGATTCACCGACATCATCCACTACTTTTACTGCTACTACTAAGTCAATTGAAAACATTTCTACGTTCATTTGTCGACAACGAATAAATGAAAAATTCCTGATCGATTTATTAACTGATGACAACGATCTTAAGCATTTAAAGTCCTTTTTGTGCGGACCAACTCAAATGCAAGATGACGTTGCTGGCTGGTTGGTGAAAGGTGTTGGATTATCGGAGAATCAGATTGTACTTGAAAAATGGGAATAATGTAAATCATCAAATTGCGTAATAAAAATTAATTTAAATTAAGAATTCGCGTGGTTCAAAACTTTATTTTACTAGATTTCATATCTTCGATTCTTTTAATTCTTAAAGATAACTTTGAAAAAAAAAACATGAGTCGCAGCAACATTGAGCCATGTCAAAATTGCGAAGTACTAAAACTGCAGCTAGAGTTAAAAGAGAGTGTCATAAAGACCAAAGACGAGAAAATTTCGCTTCTTTCCGATTCACTTATACAGACCCAAAGGGAGCTTATTGCTGCAAAAGAAGAGGCTTTGAGGGAGTATAGGAAGCTTCAGCAATTGAATTCCAATCTTGGTTTGTGCATGTTTCATTTTATCTAATTTATCATGATCATATAATTGATCCAATTTTATATATATAGGTGCTGCAAATACTTCTCAAAAATCAAAAATCAATGGAAATCCAAATGGGCATAAAAACACCAATATCAATAACTTTAATGATCTCTTAAGTTCGTCCTCTGCATTCGACAGACAAAACAACCTTTTGGAAAAGGAGCAATATTGTAACCCATTATCATATTGAGTTTTTGATTAGAATGATTTTTTCTATCGCTTCTATTCTATATTAATTATTTTTAACTGTAGCTGTGGAACCTTCGAATAGTTCGGATGCAGATTGGGTCAGTGGAAGCAATGAAATTTTGTTTAGAGGTAAAATTGTAATTTTTATTTATTTAAATTATTTAATGTAAAATTTAATAATCATATGGATTAAAAAAGAAAATCGAGCTTATATCGGACACGTAACGGAAGACATCACCAGAGCTAAATTGAGACGCTCACTCGAGGATAAATTTGGGCGTATACTTGATTTGGATATGATCGCTAGCAAGGCATTATTTTTAAAGTTATTTCAATTTGTTATTTCATCGATTCATGTTAATTACTTTATTTTACTTTTAGCACTGCGCGTTTGTGACATTCGCAACGAAAGAATCATACGAACGTGCAATTGAGGAAGGATCTCTTTTCATAGATGGAAACGATTTGGGTATTGAAGAGCCGAGGAAACGTAATAATGAAGGTGGTAAACGTGATGGCCACAGGAGAAAAAGATAATAACTGTTATTATTTATCTTCAATTTCTTTCTCTATAATTCTTTTGTATTCCCTTATTTCGTACATCCAGTTGCTTTAATTAAGGTGGGATGAATTACGATCACAATGCCAAATTATTCCCGACGCTTTTTTTCTTTTTGAGTTTCCAATCCTCTTCCCCTCTCGAGTTTAATTATCTTTATATAGCCCGTTTATCTTTTATCTCTCATTTTGCCAAATGTCATGCTTTTGCTGTTTTATCGATTACACCTACCTTATTCTGATTTTTGTCAGTCGACGAAACACGCGCGCGATAACAACCACCACGACGACGACGACGAACGACGACGACGACGTTTTCATTATCATACATAAATACTTGCGTAATGATCTTCTTCCTCCTTTTTTCCAAATTGATAAGAATAAATTAATGCCTCTTTTTTTTAATATGTTTACATGTGAGGTGGATCTGGATGGGCATGTTTCAAATTTACAACTAGATAAATCAATGTTAAAAAAGCGATTAGTGTTCCTCATCAAAACTATCGTTTTAACTGTGTTCTTAACACAATGATGAATTTGCCCTCAGGTGTCAGAAATCGCTTCACGTGATTACCCTTCGGCCAACATTAATTTATCTCCCAGCATTAACCCTAATTCTAATTTGGGCCAAGCGACATCTGACGTAAGAAGCGATCCGAGGTACCTAAAATTTGATTAATATGTAGTTCTTTTTTTATGATCCCACATCCGGTCATAAATATGTCAAATAGTCGCGTCTCTAAGGGATTGCTTGTATCAAATGTCTGTTTATAGAAAACCTACACAAGAACGTTCTTCTTCGTCCCCTCTATCAAACCAATTTTTTGATTCAGATTTGTCAGGAGTCGAAGATGAAGAGGAGGTTTGTACTCTTGAATACACTTAACAATTTATAATAATCTGCTTTGACGCTCACTTTTTTCTTTATTAACTATAGAAATTATTGTTAAAACAAGCTTTGTTGATGTCATTGGAGACAAATATAAAACTTCAAAACCACCTTGAAACCGAAACGCACCATAGTTTCATTTGGCAGTATAGTATCATTTCTGGTGATCTTTCTTTACCTTATGATTCACTTCACTCACTTTATTCTTTTCCATTTAGGTATGTGATAAAGCCATGCTTATTATTGGCGCCGTTTTTCGCTGTTGCTCTCGTATTAAAACACGATGTACAAGCAAGATTAAACATATACGCATCAGGTGGTGACTAACATAATATTGGTATATTCACAGCACCATTGCCCAAATTTGATTAGATTGGAAATCATATAAACATGCTGATTTAATTATTATCATATTTGGTGTATTTTTTGGGGGAATTAGAGACGGAAAGACATGCACAACGATGTACCTTAAAGTATTTAGAGAATCAGTGTTCGGAGAAATTTCGCAGACCAGTACTAGAGGAAGATTGTATCGCTTGGGAAGAATATCCTTTTTGATTTGGCGGGTGAATTTCAAAGTTGAATTAAGAAAATAATGAATCAAATTCACGTTTTCTCGATATTATCTCTAAATAATATTATAATCACACATGCTCTTATCGGGATGGAAGTGTTCATTCAAGGTTTAATTGATTATTATCATTATCCGCTTAATTCACAAAATCATTGTGCTGACTTGATTATAATCTTTACAGATTCGCGGTATATATGGAAATCATAGGAGAAGGACTCCAACGACTAGTCGATCCACTTTCATACACGATAATTATAAAAACGGTAAAAATCTTTTGTCGGTCTTCACTATCATGAGAATTTAGTGGCTTAATCTTTTCATACTGATTATTCTATTGATGCAGGGAATGATTCTTGCAATTATGGTCGGAATCGTTACAATCATGAAATATTTTCTATGTAGTGGTAGAATAAGAGAAAGAAGTTATTTTCGCGCAAAGGTTGACGAGAAGGCTAAACGGCTCGATAATGATACTGTTCTTCCGTCTTTGGGCTTGGGATTCAAGGATAGCGGGAGTGGTATTGGATAATTAGGTTGAAATATTTAAACTATTGAAATATACGTCTAATCGTGTAATTAGGCATAATAACAGCTTGTCTCCACTGAAACCAAAGAAACATCCGTTTTACAATCTAATTCAGCTTCAAATTTCTCATTCTCCAGGTGATTTTTTTCTATCAATCAAATCGTATGATCAATGTATGACGAAAAAAATGAACTTGCGAAATTTTACGCGCTGACGAAGCTCTTTTTTAACTAATATTTAAATAAATATGAAATAAATTTTTTTTTGAAATTATAAAATATATTTTTTATAGCTTAAAATTATTATTTCAAAAATACTTATTAAAAATATTTTTTACTATTTTTTTTTGTTCATGAATATCCAATTTAGCATAATTAACATGAAATTTTGCAAAATTTTATTAATATATTTCGTGTTATTAAAAAATCATATTTAGTATCATTACTTTTATTAGTGATTAAATTATTTTCAAAATAGATTTTATTCAAAATTAAATTTATAAACAAGAATTAAACTAAATTATTTATAATAAAAAATTAAATTCAGTTATTTTAAAACTTTTTGTATTAATATAATTAAATTTTCAAATAAAAGTATATATTTAAAAAGAAAATTATTAAGTAATATTAACTTGAACTTTTTTTTATTATTTAGATAAAAAAATAAAAATTATTAAAATATAATATTTAAATTATAATTAATTAATATTTTTATATTTAAATAAAGTATATAAATTAATTTTATATTATTTAAAACTATTAAATAATATTAATTAATAAAATATTAATTTTTAAAAAAATATTAATTATTTAAATATATTTATTCAAGTCTAAAATTTATATCTTAAATAAAAATATTTATTTTTATTTATTATTTTAAATAATACAAAGTAAATCAAAAAATAATATAATATTATGCAAAGAAATTTTTAAAAGTATTTTTTTAATAATATTATATTTAAAAATATATTATAAAAAATTTAATTATATAATTTATTTTATATTTAAACTGAAATATCTTTTTTATGTTATCTTATAAATATTAATAAAATAATATTTGAAGAATGCAAAAATACAGAGCATAAAACATAGAATTATGAAAATAATGCTAGTTTAACAAATCTATTAAAAAATTGGATAAAATATTTTTATTAAATAAAATTTTTAACAAAAAAGGCGACGTGCCCGAGTGGTCCAAGGGGCCAGGTTTAGGCCCTGGTATGGAAACATGCGTGGGTTCAAACCCCACCGTCGTCACTGTTTACCATAATCTTTCTTGCCGCGATTAAAAAACCATATTTATTTTAATTAACACCAACATGAATAACATTTTAATTCTACTAGTTACCACTAACTATTACTGTCAAGTTCCCTTGGACTGTATTTTATTTTGGATATATCCTTTGTAATCAATTTTCTCTGGTATCCACTCTCCATTATTAATGCACAAAATTTTCATTCGATCGTGGTATTCAAGATCCGGTAAAAGTTTGGGTGTGATTAGAAAGTATCTAGAAATCAAACAAATATTTATGAGAGAAATTAAAATTGAAAATAGGATTAATTAAAAATAGAGAAAAATCACATACTGCGACGTATTTGGTCGACAAGCAGTCTCTACCATCTGGCTATGCACCAATCGCTCATTACGCGGATCCATTCCTTGGTTAATTTCATCAACTACGCGAAACGGCGCTTTTGCTAGTTCTTGAAGTGACATCAGGTACATTATTGTTGATACAGATCGTTCCTAAAATTACATCCGATTTATATATATATTGTTGAATTTTTAATTGATTATATGCTTATCACTTACCCCTCCAGATTGTCTTTGCGCTGTCAGAACATGCAATTGTTCATTATCCCTATAATATTTTAATTGTATTTGCATGAACGCTAAAATTATTAAGAGTAATAATAATAATTTTTAATAAAATTAGACTCCTAAAAACTCGGCTCGTCTAGCTCAGTTAAGTGACAGCGTTTTTAGTCTTAACAAATTATAAATATTCTATTTATAATCTCCTGAGATCAAAAACTTTGACTCGTCTGGCTTGGGAGCCGGCTTGTTAGAAGCCCTAAATAAGATATGAAAGTATACCTGAATCTCACTAGAATTTCAATTCCCCATTTGTCATAATCCTCATGAGTACTTATTCGTACTTCACCAGCGCATCCAATTCCTAAAAAGAAAAACGTACGTCAATATCTTAATAACGAATCTAAAATATAAATGTGTTAATTTATATACATACTTTCAAAAGACTCTGAAAACCGTTGACTAATTTGTGTTACCAATTGATTCAACTTTGGTTCCCAATTTTCCTAATTCATTGACAAAAATTATAAATCCAAAGTTTCGAAAAAAAAAATCAAAAATCCATTTTTACCCTCGTTGTTTTCATTTCACTTGATAATTCGGCTAACCGAGTATCTAATGATTCGACTCTGGATTTCAAATTCCTAATCTGAACAAAAGAAACCAAAATAAATATATTCTCGTTATGAGAGAAAATAAATACATGCGTATATTAGTTAAAGTAACTATTGGTTACTTCTGCCAATCTTTCGTTATACTGTTGAATAACTTGAGGATTTGTTGCATAATGAAGATCAGCTTTTGCTTTTTCGTTGGCAAGTGCTTCTTCCAATTCATCTAATGACATCCCTTTAGTAAGCTAATGGGTTGAAAATAAATTATTATTAAAGCGGTTGGACATTATGATAGGATCTAACATTATTATCGTTTACCTCCTGGAACTCCACTTTTTCTTCGTCACTCAAATCTTTAATAGCATTTTCAGCAATCTCGTATAATTTTTTTGCTTTTTCTTTACGCTCTTTTAACAAAGTATCAGCTACAAAATAAAAGAAAAATAAGTTAGCTAAACTAAATCAATCAATAAAATTAATCTAAATTTTACCTATCGTGAAAAGTCTTCGAGCTTCTCTCACGCTATCATCTTTCTCTTGTGTCTCTCTTACAAGTGCATGAATCTCCGCAGTAATTTGATAATGCTTTAACGCGGCTAAATTACGTGTGGAAAATAATTTTATGCCTTCGTCTAATGTTTCCTATATACATAATAAATTTAACATGTTTGTTTTTATTCTGTGTAAATCTACGTGAAGAGATAACGAACAAGCTAACCTTATATTCCAAAAAAAGTTGGGCCCGTTTACGAGCAATCTGACGTAATTCTTGCTTTAATTTTTGACCATTATCAATAGTCGAAGATGGCTTTGACAACTCATTTTGTAGATTTACTTTAGTGGTTTCTATATAAATGTAAAAAAATTAAGTTATTCAAGAATTTATAGTATGTCGAAGATTACTATGAACAAATATTTATTATGTTTAGTGTGATAAGAATATACGTAGAACAAGAAGACAATAAAATACCAAGAGTAAGTTTCTGTCGCTCAAAATTCTTCAAGGCAGCTTGAGCTTTTCGCCTTTCTTCCACCAAATTTTCCTTCGAAAGGATAATTTTAATTTCATTAGTAACTTATTCAAAAAAAAAAATAAAACATAAATCTATAAAAGACAATTGTAAAATACCCGTCTTCCACGCAACTCATCAAATTCACGCCGACTCGTAGATTCTTCTTCATTAAAGTCACGTAAAACCCGTTCAACTTCTTCTAATTTGAGATCAATGTTCCGTAATCGGTGCTCAAGTTGTTGCTTTTGTTCAACATCAACTTTGTTTTTTTTAAAAAAAAATATATATATAGGGGAAATAAATGAACAGTATATGAATTGAACACAAATGGAGGTAAATTAATAATTTACTTGAATCTCTTAGTAAAGAAGCTGGTTTAATTCTACTCGTCATTGATTGTGCCAATTTTTGTCCATATCGAGACCAAGATATTTTGAAAAGTGTATCACCCACAAAATAATTTTTGAACTTTCGGCTACTCTCTACTAATCTATGGTCGATATCATTTTTTGCAATGGGCTATTTAGCAAAAAAGCAACCATAATTATTAATATATTATGTTATGTCTTCCTTAGCAAAATTTAAATAAACTTACAATCGAATGAATTCCAGACATCTGACAGATTGCAATCAAAACCGCTTCTGGCCCTTCAATTTGATCCAAGACATAGCAATCGAATCCATAATCCCTCAACTAATTCATTCACGAAAAAATTCAATTTCAACCTCAGTGATTCAAAATCAAAAATATATAAAATATATCAGTTAGCATGAAACGCAACTTGTCCAGAAGGAACAGGCGGATAGAAGTCATTCATTTGCTTGTGATCAAAACAAACGACATTAATTCTGATCCTTAGTCTGTCTACTACTTCTCTCGTAAGTGTCTGATAATCTTCTTTCGTTTGGCAAACAAAAGTCTATGGAACATTCAGAATCAAAAGTTAACTGATAAAAAATAACCGTCTTGCCATCATTACAACAAATTTTACCTTTATTGTACCCATATTCAATGCGCTTTCAATTACATCAACATATTGCATATCTCGAATATTGATCGTGAGCCAAGGTAATAATACTTCTTTTCTGAAACTGCTCTTGTTAGTTTGGACCCACTGATATCCCTGAAACGTTGCATGATCAATTTGTTGAATAGATCTTAGTCGTCGTTCTGTGACATCAACTATTTGTCTGAGTCTAAAATGAGTAAAACAACATGATTAACATATAAAGATAAACTATTAATAAAAGTAGGATGATTGATAATTAAAGATAAATAAAGGGAACAGGAAAAAATTTAGTTTCTTACTCTTTGATGAAGTTTTCGCGTTGAAGAAGAAAATTATTTCTTACATCAACATGTTCTTCTTGTTTTAATTGAAGTTCATCGACACTATTCCTAAGCTCTCGAATACGATTATCTACTTGTTCCTTTATTATGAACATGTTAATTTAATCTTTGTCATCATGTCAAATTATCTTATTAAAGTAAAAAAACCAACCAATCGTCGTTGAATACCGCTTGTATCGATTGCTGGCGGTGGCCCGTTAACAATGCTCTCTAATTCAGCAATCTCTGCTTGAAGACGTGCAATTCGTTTATTTCTTTCTTTCTCATCTCTTTTTAAGAGCCTTATTTGTTTCTGAAGGTCATCACTTTCATTTTCCTTTTTTTTTTAAATCATAATAATTATCATTCATTATTATTGTTTCATTAACGGTTGTAATTCATTCGTTATAAATAGCTTTTGCTACCATTTGCTCCAGTTTATTTGCACATAGTTCAATTTGCCGAGTGGTTTTAACATATTGATCATATAGATTTTTCCTCTCTAGCGACGACGTTTTTTCGGCTTTTTCCAATTCCCTAGATAAAGCCGTGTACATTGTTTATAATTAGTATAATTAAACGAATAAATTCGAGCGATTCAATAAATTGTCTCATTTAATTACGAGGTAATATAAAGATCAATAGTTATAAAAATCATACTCTCTTCTATGCTTCACCGGCTCATTCTCTTGTATCAAGCTATTGTAATGCGCATGAGCAGATTGATATTCTTTTTTTGCTTCGGTGTATTCATCCTTGGCGACAGAATATCGAGCATATGGGATTTTCATCTCAAATAGCCTGACCTTTTAGATGTGCAAATAAAAAAATAATTATAGAACCAAATATTTTAAATTAAATAAAAGTTAGCATCACGCACATTCTTTAAGATTGCTTCTCGTTGTTGAAAACGCATCACATCTCGTTCCAAAACAGAATTTCTCTTTTCAAGATTTTCCATTTGTTCTCGATCAGCTTTTGAACTCTGTAGAAAGGAATCAAATAAAAATTAGGCATTTAAATAATAAAAAGCGAATAAAATCATGCTAAACTACCATCAAGAGAGATTTTTCTTCTTCTCGCAATTTGATCAATTTCTGATGATATTCAATTAGATTTCTCTCGCCTACAGCTTTTTGCGTTTGTATAAGTAATTCCGACGGTGATAGCTACAAGGAAATAGAATAAATGTTTTGTCTTTCCAAACTTTCATGCCATCAAATCAGCATTATTATGTATTTCAAACCTGTGCAAACTCATTCACTTTATCCTGAGGCAAGAACTGACTGAAAATCAAGTCAAAAAAAAAAAGGATCGATTAATGGGCCTAATGATGTGAATAATTATCTAATCATGTAATTCACCATAAATTATCAACTTGAATATTTAATTCCGCGATCCTTTTATTCACTTCTCGATGTGTCGCTTTTTGTCCTGTAATAATATCAAAGAGTAAGTTATGGAAAAAATTGGCATCACCAGATACGAACAAAATACATACCATTGATTTTCCACGGCGTACTATTATTTTCTTTTTTAATTTTACGATTTATCACAACGTTCTTCTCTGGACACTTGAGCTCAATTTCAATTTCTGCGATATCTGCACCATGTTTTATAAAATCAGAAATTTCTTTGGCACGTCCAAGGAGCTTAATATAAATAACCAAATCATTCAATGAATTGGTCAAATAAAGAATAACATAAAAAACAAAGACTTTTATAAAAATATACCGAAGTATTCCAACCTAACCCAAGAGCAATTGCGCACACTATTGTACTTTTGCCGGTCCCATTCGGCCCAACAATCATATTCAAATTGGGTCCAGGAAAAAATTCGACAAAATCATATGTCACAAAATTCTTGAGTTGAACACGCACAATAGAACCGTACAGATATCTTTTGTGGATAGAGAGTTATTTTTCTTTATTATTCTGAAGAATAAAAAAAAATCTAAGGCATTCCGGACACAAGCACGTATAGCATGAAAGTTCTTTCATCATCTAAACGCAGCTTAGAAGCGAAAACGCGTCGAAAATTTAATGAGAAAAAACACCCAATGAAACTTTACCCATCTTCTGGCTGTCTAGCAATTTCCCCAGTAAAGAGGGGAACTACAGACTCGCCTTCGTCATTAAGGCGCAACCTTTTATTACTAGAATTGGAGTTGTTACTGATATCACTGATAAAACTTGTTGATGATTCTGCTTGCGAGTCTAAAACTTCCTCTTCCGACTCTTCGATCCGCTTCTTAGGGGCCATGTTTTTTATATATTCACTTTCAGCGACCGAAATGGCAATTATGTGTAATAAATGAGACAAAATACGAGACGCGACACGAATCTGATTATAATGGACAGTTCTATTAAATGTAGCGATGATCGTTTATCATTGATCGCACTTTTTTAAAAAATCTTTTTAACAAAGGTTACTTTTACCTTTTTTTCTCGAAGAAAATATGACTTACGTAAATACCGTTTTCACGGAAGACTCGTTGGAAGTGCAGGTATACTTACTCGCTTGTTCATTTTGCAAGCTAATAACACTTGCGCTGTCAGAATTGAGAACGATATATAAGAATCATGATAACGCGTTTGATTCACATTCAAAGCTCTTAACCGTTCCCTTTTTCTCTAGGCTTCAGAGTTTGCAACCTATGTCTCGAAACTTAAAGGAGAACCCGAGGAACAAAGTACCTTCCTAATAGAAACCACAAGTCTAATCAAAGAGAATAAAAATGAACAAGTTTTTCAAAAATTCGCCGACGAAACGATTATATTATTGGACGCACCCGAGAAAGGTGTTTATTTGTTAATTAAATGAATTGAAAATATACTCGGATTTTAGTAATATGCATTCATATTTCAGTTCTTGAATTCGATATATGATAAACAGATTTTGAACCACTTTTTAATCTTCTTATTGCAATTTTAAAATCCGCTTCGCCCGAAACACACCACGATTTGATACGAAAAACGATTCAGACATTTGTGGATGACAAAAATGAAAAAGCAATTCTAAAACTAAAAGCGTAAATATTTCATGAACGATTTTTGAATTCGATTAATTGAAATTTCAAATGATGATGATGATGATAATGATTGTGTTATAAGTCTTCAGAATTTATACAACACATTGGAAAACACCTCGCCACTACGATATTATACATTTCTAGCGATACTCGAAATAGCAGCAAAAAATGACGAGATTGATACCGTAATACCACAGTTGTCACGCTTAGATACCTGGGTTCGAGAGTGGGCTATTTCGACGGAGCAAGTCAGGGAACTGTACCTAATAGTATCAGAAAGATTGAAGGAGGCTGCAGAAATGTACGTTATTAATATCATTAACCGATGCGTGCAATTCATTAATTTATTAATTTATTTGTTTGCTTGTTTTTATGTAGTATAAAATCTTACGAGTTCTTATTGAAATATCTAGCAACCTTTAATGATTCTAATGATCTCAAAGCTACTAAAGAAGCGGCAACACGTGCCATTGTTCAAGCAATAAGATTACCAGAAATTTTACGTTTCGAAGATTTACTAGAATTAAAAGCCATACAATCCTTAACGGAAGAAAAAATATTCGAGCTACTGCGTGTTTTCCTGAGCGGAACATTAAAGGAATATCGAGAATTTATAGGGAAAAATCCTGGAATCATTGAACAATACGGTAAATAATCATCTCGATCAAATATTTTTTGTGCGCTCTATTTGATGAACTTTATTAATTAATCTATATGCCAATTTTCTTAGGATTATCGAATGAGGAGAATATTCAAAAAATAAGGTTACTCACTTTGGCTTCTTTGGCTTCGGAACATGTGTCTCGTCATGTCTCGTATAGTACAATCGCGAATTCATTGGAGATTAATGAAGACGATGTAGAAATGTGGACCATTGATGGTATTATTTTTTTTTTTACATAAATCTACATGATATTTTAAGAGATTTCATTAGTCGCTATAATAATCATGATAATAAATTTAATCATATATAGTCATTCGAGCAAATCTCATTGAAGCGAAAATAAACCAAGTTACCAAAACGATACTTGTCAACAGGTCAACATATCGCACATTCACCACAGTTCAATGGCAACAACTGTCCGAGAAACTCGGAGGATGGAGACAATCGCTTGACGATATACTTCAAGTGATTGCAAATGCCAAATTAATGGCGCAACATGCTAATGTTAACGCCAATATTGCTGCCGCTACCGCAGTTACTAATGATGGTACTGCTGTTTTGACACTGAATGACGAGAGAGTGAATGAACAAGAGGAGGAAGGAAATGAAAATAATAGATAATTTATTATAAGTATTAAAAATATTGTATTTTACTATTTAATACTTAGTATCATCGTTATTTTAAAATAAAAAAAAATGTGCGCATGTCGATATACTTTATCTGACGTCTATCATATAAAATGTCGATCAATTATAGTTAAAAAGGCAAAATCTGCTTCACATCAAACTTTTTAAATTTTTATACATATCAATATAAACGAGATTTTTTTCTATGGCATATGAATTTTTCTAAAATTATCAGGAGGACCTCTCTCGTTCCAACTACCATTATCAGCATTTATGGTGCAAAAACGTAAAAACCGGAGACCCACCACCACGTATCCGACCACAACTGACGATTCTGAGGATACCGGCGAGATAACTGACACTTCAACTACAACTACCGCCACTCAAGCGACCGTTACTAGTCAAAATCCTCCGACTCCCACCACCTCGCACCCTCCAACCTTTCCAAAGTCAAAACAACCTGTAAAGCAGGGAATAGGAAAACAGCCTTCCTTTAGTTCCCACTCGCGACGAAAGAACAGTGCATCGCCTGAAGACGTGGAACAAATTGTCAATGAAACATTCTTTTTAAAGCATGAAGAGCCAAAAACCTTTCTAACACGAAAACGTGTTGTATTCACCGCTGGGCTCTTATTTGGTTTGGCAATAGCCTGGGCCTTTACTGAACCGACTACCGTTAACCAATTTCAAAATTTATCAAGTTTCATTGCCGGTTCGCTACAAGATCTTGACTTCACCAGTATTTTACCGGCGAATATTTTGGTCGAGGAATTGCTAGGGAATGTTACCATGTACTTAAAGCCGAATATATTGGAAGATACCGAATTCATGCCCGGCTTAAAGCTGGCTGAAAAAGGGCTCAGAGCGAAATTTCCGGTAATTTTAATCCCAGGAATCGTCTCCACGGTAATTATTCTTGTTCGTTTTATGTTGTTGGCAGAATCTTGGATAAAATAATATACTATGATTAGTATATTAAAAATCAATTAATTCATAGGGATTAGAGAGCTGGAGCACTTCTAACTGTTCTCAAAAGTATTTCCGAAGACGAATGTGGGGTACCACAAGTAAGTGTAATTATAGATGAGCATTTCGCTCGCTATATTACTATATTAATGTACGCGAAATCTATTATCAAGCCATGTTTCGTGCCGTTCTGCTGGATAAAGAGTGTTGGAAGGAACACATGAAATTAGATCCATCAACAGGATTAGATCCTCCGGGAGTTAAATTACGTGCAGCTCAAGGTAAGATTCATGCAGAACAAAGTTTCAGCTTTTTGACTTGATTAAAAAAAGATTTTATTATGACAGGTCTTGATGCTGCTGATTACTTGTTCCCTGGGTAAGCGATTTTTCGATTTAATCGTATTTTAAAAATCGCTCAACTGTTGATGTTATTAATTTATGTGTTAAATATGGCATTTATTTTTCATCGCATTTATAGTTATTGGGTATGGGGTAAGCGATTCATTCGTATTAATTATTCTTAACGCCACGATGATGAATTGATTTTTACTTGACAAAATATATAGGCAAGATGATTCAAAATTTCGCTGCCATCGGATATGATTCTAATAACATGCATTTGGCTGCGTATGACTGGAGATTATCCATATATAACCTGGAAGTGAGGGATAAATATTATAGCAAACTTAAAAGCAACATAGAAATGTTCAAAAAGCTGGATGGACATAAAAGTGTATTGGTTGGACATTCGTTAGGTACTCTAATTATGTTCTTGATTAAACCTGTCACTAGTTTTTAATGAGATGCTGAGCTATATTTTTTAACTGATTAGGATGCACGGTCGTATTATATTTTCTTAAATGGGTTGAATCCCCACTGGGTGGAAATGGTGGTCCGAACTGGGTAAATGATCATATTGAATCCTTTGTAAATATTGGTGGTCCTCTATTGGGGGTCCCGAAAGCTTTGTCTGCTCTCCTTTCCGGTAAAGTAAATATAAGATTTCGCGCGTCGTTTGGAATATTTGCTCTTCAATCTATTAATTTCATACACATAATTGAATAAATTTCTAAACTTTATTTTCTTGCATAGGTGAAATGAGGGATACAGTAGAATTGGGAGCTTTTGGAATTTATGTTCTCGAACGTTTCTTCTCAAAACGAGAACGCGCCGAACTTTTCCGAACATGGGGAGGCCTTGCATCTATGCTTCCAAAAGGAGGCGAAGCTATATGGGGAAATGCTACACATGCGCCTGATGATAAGAAGTATGAAGATCCAAATAAAAAAGAATCATTTGGACCGATGCTGACGTTTAGATCATTCCCGCGATTTATTAAAAACCTCACCAAATCTTCGCCTAACAAATCATCAGCATCCCACGATGGTCCTCAACTCGTGCATCATCACACCAGCACCGCGGTCGTGACCTTCCTCCAACAGCATGCAGACAAATTATTCAAAAGAATGTTATCCACAAATTATAGTTTTGGTCTCGCTGAGAATAAAGGAGATTTTCGTGACAATGTTGATCATACTAAATGGTCGAATCCGCTGGAATCCCAACTTCCATATGCACCAGATATGAAAATCTATTGTCTATATGGAATAGGAAAGGAGACAGAACGTCGTTACTTTTATTCACATGATGGGACGGGAACGAATAGCGAGTGTGACGGATGTGACAAGGATGATCAGCAGGATTCGAACGAGGATAGACGTGATTGGAACGTATTTATTGATAGCACAAGAAATGCTGATGATCAAGGGGTAAAAAGCGGAGTGCACAGTGGAGAAGGGTATGTTTTGAATCATCTATTGATTTGGGTTTAGCAACCTATCTAATCTTGATTTTTTTAAATTGTAAAGCGATGGCACAGTTCCACTTATATCTTTAGGTTATATGTGTGTCAAAGGCTGGCAAAACAAATTATACAACCCAGCCGGAATAAAAGTAATTACTCGGGAATTTGTACATTCTACTGCACCATCCTTGGATCTTCGTGGTGGCTCAAAAACAGCAGATCATGTTGATATTTTAGGAAATTATGCAGTCACAGTAAGTTATCGATCAAAGTTCGTTATCGGCTGCCTGGTACAGCGTTGACAATTTTTTTTTCTCTCTTCATTAGGAGGATGTTTTACGAGTCGCATCTGGTTATAGTGACTCACTCGAGAACGAGATTCATTCCGATATCGAGACATATGCAGAACGAGTTGAACTTTGAAACCATTTTTTTCATTTGATCAAATAAGTAAAAGTTAGATGCAAAAATGAAATGCACATTTTTATGTGAGGTTATGAATAAAATACAATTTAATTTCTATTTTTCAATCTTTTGATTGTAAATTATAATTTAATGTTGTTTAAAGAATTATGAGTATGGAAATGACGATATTCATTCAAAGGTCATCGACTGTATAGATAAAATGCACGATTTTTCATTCAAATAATTACCAACCCCACAGAGTCTTGATAAACATTCCTAAAGTTCCAGTAATCCCATAATTTTCACTCTCTTCTTCGGGTATTTGATTGATATCAGTAGGTGGCTGTGGTTTCTTTGTAGATTTCTTTTTAATTGGAACTATTTGATTACTTGTCATAGAACTGAATCCAAAGCTTCGATCAGCTATTTGTTCTTGAGCTGGTGGTGGCTGCTCTTGCTCTTGAGTATTCCGAGTATTCTCCCGAGTATTTGATATGCTCGAAGAACCTGATGTAAATCCTGAAGCATTGAAGAACATATCAGCAGAAGTACCTGCACCATCTTCTGTGGGTGTCGATTTCTCTGCTGCATCCCGCCTCACTTCTTCCAAGAGATCATCCAATGTCTGGTTAGGTGGCACCATTATCGTTAGATCCATTTCTCGAATAGGTCTGGGTCGCCATCTATTTATTAATCAAAGCAAGAATATAAGATTGAGGGATAATAACAGCAAACCGACCAAATAACATGATGATTACTTACTTACCGATCGGGCGTAAAACCTGCCTTTGACTTTTTCTTACTGTTCTGTTGAAAAATTAATATAGTTAAAAACCAAATCTATTTGATCGATTATTAACTAATGGGAATTCTTATCACACGCACCAGCGCAGCATTTATTATCACGGGTTCAAAGTATTTCTCTTCGGCGACTTCATCTTCAAAAAAGTCGGGAACAAGATTCGACTGTTGCTGCTTGCAATGCAAACATTCCTGAGATACGCAGACATTGCATACTAACTGTCTATTATTGAAATTTTGTTGATTACTGAAATTTTGTTGATTGTTGAAATTTTGTTGATTGTTGAAATTTTGTTGATTGTTGAAATTTTGTTGAAACATAATTTGTATTTTTGTTATCTTTGTTATCCAGGATTCACACGCGCTTGAATTAAAAAATTACACAATCAGCGATGATTGGTCGATTGAATTTGTCGTCGACAATAAATACCTCTCGATCTATTTTTTCTAGAAGAAAAAAAAAACCTGTCGCGACCATGACTTTTTTACGCGGAGTTCGTCAATTAAAAGGTATCATTTCTTGATTTTTTGTTTCAATACATTCGATCCAGTGATATTTATTCTGAAATTTTCATTTTCTAGTTTATGCTTTACGCCCCAAAAGACGTCTGCAATTTAGGATTTTTAGCACTAATTCCTTGGAACAAAATACAAATACTAAGACGAGTCCAAGTTCTTCCGATAGCTGGCGTTTTCTTTTCGAAGACGTACTTGCCAAAAAAGATGTAGAGGAACCTCCCAAGACACAACATACCACGCCACAAGTCGAACCTCTACCAAGCAGTAAGCCAGCAAAACGTATGCTTTCCGCGGAAGAAAAAGAAACTTTCCGGAAAATTTTCGCCACATTATTTGAAAAACCAAAAGCTCCGACGGAAGCATCAAAAAACGTTGTAAAACCTGATATCGAATTTGATAATACCAAAAAAGAAATGGCACCAACAAAGCCGGATGATGGGATGTCGACTATAGAACGTCACTTGATTGATTTAATAAAACGAAAAGAACAAGTAACTGCAGATAGAAGATTCAATCCTAAATTGAGTAGTAATAATAATTATAACACTGATTACAACAGTAAGAATTATAATTATAATAATTATGATAATGATAATTATAAGAATTATAGTAATTATAATGATAACACGAGACAAACCAAGTGGGATGATAAGTGGGGTGGTAATAAAAACGAGGGCACTTCGTTTGATTCGTTTAAAAGTGAAAGAAAAGACTCGGGATGGTTAAGTGATCACTTTGAAGCAGTACCCTCAATGTCTAGTCGTAGTACTCCGTCATTGGGAATTAAGAAACATGAAAAATCACCGGAAGAACAAGCTGTTACTAATGACATCAAAGAGGAAATTACTTCAAATTGTACTAATAATCGACGATTATTCCAATTCATCTGGAATCGCATTTTTAAAGATACGAGCACTGAGCCATCAAATAACAAATTAGAATCCACTGACAATAGTAAAAGTAAAGATGATGCTAGCAGGAATCTTTTATCATTGCTAGGAAAATCTAAATTTGATCCTCATTACTCAATTTTACTAGAAGAGGCAATAACGCTAAGTAGGACGGTATTTTATGACCCATATATGGTATTATCGATATTTGAACAAGCCAAACGTCAAGGGGTCGAATCATACATAAGAGGGGTCTCAACAAAAGTGTACAATGAAGTTTTACGCACAAGATGGGACTTTTGGAGGGATCTTTATGGGATGGAACAATTAATCAACGAAATGAGATTTAATGGTGTTCAGTTCGATGAAGATACCCTGGATATAATAAACACGGTCTCAAAAAACATGGAATCCAATTGGGGCCCTGAAGAAAGACAAACATTGGGAAAAATGAAAGATATAGTGATCGGACACGAGACAAGAGGAAGTTTTTTTACACTCGCGGCAGATAATTCCTGATTAGACTTTGGTTAATATTTTATGTACAAAAATAAAAACACTCGATTATATTCAGATTTTATATTTAAAATTTTGAAAGACATAATATAAAGAAATAAAATCATTAATGTTAGTATCAATAAAAAAAAGATGAATTTAATATAAAAATCAAAAGATTTGTTCCACATGTTATGTTTATAAGGATAAATTCTTAAGAATTTATTAACAAAACGTAGGATAGAAATGTTGGAAGAAATTATATGCACAAAAAAGTGTAAAAATGAACTTGGAAAAAAGTGTTATTTTCATACATCAATTAAATGACGTGTCATTTAACTATACTTTTAAAGATTCTTTCTTGTTTCAACGCCAAGATAATATCATCTTCAGAGACACAGTTCAAACGTATACGTCGATATATATCGCGCCGTCCATCTTGTGCAAAGATAGCAGCACAATTACAAAGAAAAGAACAAACAGCGGAGAGATCAGAATAGGAGGGCTTTTCAATGTTATGAATCATACACAAGGTTTCATGGTGTTGTGCCACCTGTAAACCCAAAATTGTTAAATGATAACTTTGATAATGGGGAATTGAATAGCCATAAAATAATGTACCTCTCGGAATTCTGTTTCATCTGCACCTTTCCGTCGTTGGGTTTCCACGATTGACCAAAGGAAGAGCTTTTGATGCAACGATGCACGCCGAACAAAGGTGACACTTGGAGAATTTAACATCTCCTTGACTGCTTTATCGATAATAGCAATCGTTACTTTTTTTTTGGGTGTGCTCGAGTTTGGGACATCGTTATCACTAGTTTTACAGAGGCTCGACTCTAAAATTTCGACGGCGCGTCTAGGAATTATTAATATTATCATTGAAATTAGTCAAAAATAAAATTAATTACATTCCAAAATATATTTTTGAATCACAATCAAGGATTACCGGCATATATCCAAAGCTCGCCTTGCATCTCCAGAGAAGGCGCTCACTTTTCTAGCGGCAAATTCTATCGCATCTTTTTCGAATGTTTCGATACCTTCAAGTCGCGACTCTAAAATCTTTATGAGTTGTTGATGATTATATGCGGTAAAATTGATTCGTGTAAGACCTAATAAAATATCACGGAATTAATAAAGATTAATATATGCATGCATAGGTTGGAAGGTAAATATTACCAATTCGACTAGAAATTTTTTTATGTGTCATTCTTTCCGGCAAATCCATGGTATTTGCCACAGCTATTAGAATTAACCGAGAATTTGGAACATTTGGCCAATTGAATAAATTATACATTAATGACTGATTAGCCGCGAGCATGTCAAGCTCATCTATAAACACCACCCTGAAGAATAGAAATTAAACACGTTATCTCAATAATGAAACTTTTATATACAAGGGAATCGTTTTCGTGATCACTTTACCATGGATCACTCTTCGAAGCAGAACTTTTAAAATATTCTTCCAATAAAGAATTGGCGTGATTTGAGGACACTTTTTCACCAGATAATGATTCCCATAGAGCGCAGTATGTTTTTAAAGGATCAGATAATTTCAACGCATTGATCTCAGTATATTTAAATCTATTAAGATCCTATATTCATGTTAATTAAAGGATATACCAAAAAAAAAATGATTCATAGTATCATTTATTGTAATTACCTTGGTGTCGACTTTAGCCTGCAAAACCTTGATGATTTCTCGTACAGACGCAGTTTTACCAGTTCCTGGAGTGCCTGAAATGTAAATGCATGTGCCATTTTTTTCTTTAATGGCTTCTTGAACATAACTTAGGATTTGAGAAGTTTCACTTTCTCTGCAAGGAAGAGACTCGGGAACCGCAGAGACGTGCAAGAGCTTTCTTGCACGCTCCAAAGGACTCTCCAATTCTACTGCACGTTTTCTGAAATTATTATTATTATTATTATTATATGGTTATTTGATTTGTAATCATTTGCAAAGTCAACTGAAAAGAAATACTTTTTTGGAGGTGTTTTTACTTTCATAAGTGAGGAGTTTCTTTTATTTCGAGGTGTTGAAGGTGCTTTTTCTTCTTCAGGCCCACTCAAGGGAATCAATATTCTTTTCCTTGGTCTGGGCATATTTCATTAATGATAAATTGAAGTAATAAAAGACGCGTTCATATATGATCTACGAGCGTATATAAAAAGGGATGAAATTCGCGTTCGTGCCACCTCTCAACCCGGGTGTATTATCTACCAAGAATCTACTCTCTTTAACTGGATACACATAAAAAAACATGCCTCATCCCGTCTATTCGCAACACCAGAAAATGGCAACAACGATCAAAACTAGAGATTCACTACTTCGCCAATGTTGTTTCACTTCTTCACGCAAACATTGTTGCTATTGCAATTATTGCCGTTACTATGGACGTTGCTATCACTGCAAACTCAACTACTGTCTACTATGTCGTTATTGCTGCTTCTGTTGCTTTGACTTTTACGAGGCAACTTGTAAATGCAGACACTGTTACTACTGCTCATTTGCATATGTTAACCTGGGGCCTTTGATCAAGTCTGGAATTCCAAATAACAACTGTAACAACAACAATACTCCAAGTAAAAATTATTTTATCAAATTTCCACGCAAATGTTTTTTTCTGCATCTTATAAAACGTTAATCTAATTTCTCTTGCTAATGATAATGGTAAAAGATGGAGATGTAGATGAAAGTACAACATTGGAAACAAGGAATTCTCGTTTATTCTCAAAATATAAGTTAGAGCTAGGAAGTAAGCGATGACTTTTACGTGTTTTTATTATCGTGATAATGTCCACCTTCTAATCTTATTTTTAGCAATTCTAGAATCCAACGAAGATGGACATTAATGAAGAATCATTCTCTTTATTTATCATGACGTGTAAAAATTCTTTCTCTTTTATAAAATCCCATAGATAATATACACATTAAATTCATTTATACGCACATTTATAGATTTACGTATATAATTAATTCAACCTCTTTTACATTATCTTTCATTGTACTATATTAATAATCATTTAATATTTAAATTGAGACATAAGAAGTTTAAATATGTTCCATGATCACATTTATTTTCGTTATTAATTGCGTCAATCGCGTCTAAAAAATCATATTTATTAAAAGACTTCCAATTTGCACGTATAAGATAATCATTAGCATTGCAAGTCATTTAAGTCGCGTTTTTTTTTAAAAAAATGACATGTTACTTATAATTTACGCCTACCAAGACACTAAAGGCCAAACTATTGGAATAGGGAAATAAAATCCAAGACAGGTTTTAATGTTCCACATTGATGATAATGAGAAATTTGGCATCCCATCTAATTAATGAACTGTTTGCTTGTATTTTTCTACATTATCAGCATACCTCAGAGCAGTAAAGTCAACTAATAACTATCCTCTACGCGGCGACAGGATTCCCATATCTTGGGTACAATGAAACATGCAGCAAGTTCTAATTTATATCATGTAATATGCATAATTCCGGATGGAAGAGCATCATCTCCATTGATCTTTGACATTGTCTTGTTTTACGGAAAGATTAATAAATTTAATACGGCGAGTAAACCAATCAAATCGTAAGATATGAAAAGTAATTAAAATCTTTAAATGAGAAGAATGATTAATATGTAGTATATAATATTGATTTTTAGATTTCGAACTTCAAAATTTATGGTTTGGTTTTTGCATGGGACTTTATCATCTAAATTCCCGTCCATCTACCTAACAACCCTAGTCATTGAAGGAACTATAAATGCTTTTTCAGTTTATGGGTCAAAAATGTTAGAAACATTAGAACTATTAAAAATTTCAACACGAGAGCAAGATCGTGTTGAAAGAGGTAAAGATTTTTTCAAATTAAATATTTTGATAAATAAGAATATTTAACATGAAATGTAATTGTCTCCTTAATTCTAGCTTGCTAATTTCTATCCATTATTCCACTCCCTATCCCGTATTCAATCCTCTCTATCTTTTCGTCTCATTACTCTATCCCTTCAATTTCCAATGATTGAAATATCACAAAAAAAGAAAATCATTAAAGTAGTAATAAGACAATGCAGATGCGAAAAAAGGACTTCCTTAGTATAGTCTTAATGTTAAATATCATTTTTCAAATCGAGTACAAGTAAGAAAGATTTCATATTTAATGCATCATTATGCAAACAGCAAAAACTTGAATATTTCGTTGAAGAATTTCCAATCATGTAATCTAAACCTCAGAATGACATACTTGGATGGCTTATTTCAAGAAAGCAGCTTTTCTTAATATTATTTCACAACCCATGTTAATAACAAGTTCGCTTTGTCGCGGAGTACAATATATAAATGCATTTTTATTGATTATAGAAGCTGATGCAAAAAAAATACGCGTAATTATAAGCGATCATAAAACGCGAAGCTGGTCTCACGTGTAAGCCGAAGTCTATGATTCTATTGGACCTCAAAAAAAAGTGGGCTTCCAAATAATGCAATTTGGCAACAGGCAATAATTTATTTGTCAAATAAAGAATTTCTTTATTGAAGTCTAATTTTTTCATAGAATTCAACATGGGAGGAGCACAAAGTGCAGATAAAGGACACGGTTATCACGTATTAAGAGTAAGTTTACTCGACACTGTTCAACCTCTTTTTACTGGCGACTTACTCATTTTAGCTTACAGGTACAGGAGAATTCACCGGCGCATTTGGCAGGCATAGAACCCTTTTTTGATTACATCGTTGGAATCAATGGAATACCCTTGGTATTTAATTAATATAGAGAGAGAGAGAGAGAGAAGCACATTTTTATGTTATTTTTTTTTATTCCGTGTATTAATGTATAATGTTATTTGATTCCGGAAAGGATACACCCGAAAGCCGAGTATTACAGGATCAATTACTAGCAAATATGGATAAAGAAGTGGTTCTTGCAATTTATTCTACCAAGGAGCAAGAATTACGCGGTTATTTGATTGATCATGTTTATTATGTTTATTTTGGATCCCATTCTTTCTATTTTAAATTTTAATATTCTGCATTTTTTAATATAGAAGTTCCAATGATACCGAATCGAAGTTGGACATCGAATCCTGGAGATGGTTTAATCGGTGCATTTAAATATGATTGGTTTTTCTTCTTTCCATGAATAAACAATTAATTAACTATTCACCATTTTGTATCATTAATCAGGACTCAGCATTCGGTTTTGTACATATGAGGTTTTAATTCGATCCAGTCGTTTCTGATTTTTCGAGCGCGAGTTAAAGATTACTCTTTAATGTTTTTATGCATCTTGTTATTTCTGTGTACTTTATAGGCTACCAATGAGCATGTATGGCATATATTAAATGTAGCACCTGAAAGTCCAGCAGAATTGGCCGGTTTGGTTTGTATAAATAGATCTCTTGATTGTACATTAGAGAAGAGACAAATTTACATCTATACATACTAAATATTTTTTCGCTCGATGGAATAATGTTTATAGATACCTTATACTGATTATATAATTGGGACGCCACATGTAACACTACATAGCGAAAATGACTTTTATGAATTTATTGAAGCATATACGGGACATCCTTTACGTCTTTACGTATATAATTCAGATTTTGACGCTTGTCGAGAGGTAACATTATTTTATTGTTACGTGTTATTTTTTCTCGAGCTAACTTAATTTAATTCAAAGGTCGTAATAACACCAAATCATGCATGGGGAGGAGAGGGTGCACTAGGTTGTGGAGTTGGTTATGGGTGAGTAAATATTTTTATAATCATCAATGTCTATTAGAATAATAATATTATTAATAAATTTTTTATTATATGAAAAAAAAAGGTATTTGCATAGAATACCAAAAACCAACAAATATCATAATAGTCAACTTACATATCAAGGTGATTTAAAGCAACAACCACAACAGTTTAATGATCAATCATTACCAGGTTATTGTTAAATTTTATTAATAAAGAAGTTTATTAATATGAAAATACTGACACATTTCTTTTTTTTTAATAATTTCCAATTATAAGTTGAAAAATCTCATCCATCGATGACCAATACTGATGTTGTTACTGTCATCCCTACCACGATCACCACCGCTCCATTGATAATTGAAACACCCGCAGAACCTCCAGAAACTAATAGACCACAGCAGTCGCAGCAATATCCAAACTATCATCAAACTATACACTTTAATAATGATAAAGTTCCCCTTGATCCATAATACACGCGCATGCGTCTTTATTAAAAAGACGAGTAGACTATTTGGTAGAATCGTGTAAATTTATATATTAGGTATATTTATGGGATATTCTTTGTAATTATAAATTACATTTGTAAAAATATAAATTTTTTTTCTCGAAAAAAATTTTACTACGAAAACACTTGAGCAAGGTGCTTTTTTTATTCATCTGTTCTTGGGAGACCAATTGTTATCTTGCTAATTGTTAAGATTAAGCTCATTATTATCGAGGATTCTAATTCCAACAATCTACCCGCTTCCCAATTACTTCTTTTGTTTTTTTTACATTCAAGTGGAAAACACCCAGCTGTTCAAGAATTCTGTCTCCTGTGGTAGGTTCTAACTCAGTATCCAATAGAAACGAGATCACTTGTGAAATAGTTTTAGGCTTTTTCGATTTATTTGGATCTACAGGAGTATCTTGATGATGAGGGTAGAGTAGGCAATATACACACGTCTCTTATCCTATAAAAGTCAAACCCTCATTTAATAAACATAAATTCCATACTCAACGACATGTGGTTAGATAAATACCTTCTAAAATAATTTTGATCCATCGTTTTCCGATTGTGAATAACCCTTTTCCATATCAACTGCCTCCATCTTTGAAAATTGGCTTTCATCAAAACACGTTCCCATAAATAATCTGTTCTTTTAGATATTCCTTTGTAAACATGATTAAAAAATTCTTGAAGGTAAACTGTTAGATAAAAAATTGAGCACATGCGTCAGCTGTGAGAGTGGAGTATAAAGTTCCAGGGAAATTTCAATTAACCTTTAGAAGATATATTATATGCAAGAGTAATAAATATATATATATCAATTACATATTTCAGATTATAATATTTTATTAATTAAATTACATAATTAATTATAATACTTCATATCGGTCATCAAATTTGTTCCTTAATTGTGTATTCAATTAAGGGATCGACAAAGGTTTTCACGCTCAATTTCTATAGTTCTCAATATAAATAGACAACTTCACTTCTAAGCTAGCCCTCTAATGATGTAAGATAAACTACCTTGCTTTGCTAAGTTGGACAAAGCTTGATGTCTGTCTCTTATTAACTGTCTTATTTTATTTATTCCAACACTAATAGTTTTAAAAGAATCTTAAGCCAAAGCAGCCTAATTTGTGAAGTTACTTAACATTATCACATATTAATATCTCTTACTAAAGACATATATTATGAGAAATCCAATCCAACTTCCAAAGTGATTAATTCTAATCCATTCAAATCTGTGTCTAAAACAGTTAATACTTATCATAATGATGTATTATTTTTAAATAATTTCAATTATATTAATAGTGATGTTAATTATAATCCAGCAAATACTGAAAGTATAAGTCTTATAACTGAAAGTATAAGCCTTGTAACTGAAAGTATTATGATAGAAAGTGTTACAGATAATATATTAAACTTTGATGTAAAAATAAAATCTTTTTTATTTAATAAAACTGAATTTGAAAAAACATAAATCTTAGCAGAAATATATAAAAGTGATAATATATATTTTCTAAATGATATTAATACTGAAATAAATAATAATAATATATTATTATTAATATTATCATTTAAGTTAAAATCCAAATCAAGTAAGAAAAATAACTATCTTATAGGAAACATTTCAAATTCTAATCAAATATTATTAGTTTATTCAATTTTGAATTTGATTAATAATCATATTTAATATTATTTAGATAATTTATCAAAACAAAGATCATTTATTTAACTTGTTAAAACTTGAGAACTTAATATAGAAACTATTCAACAAGTTAATAGGAAAAATAAATTATTAATGATAGATATTTATCAATTTCACTTTTTTTTGATTAAAATTAATTTTTTATTCACATATTAAATAAACTTAGTCAATTAAGAAAAGTTAAATCTTTTATTATCACTATTATTTTATAGCAAATTTAAATATTTTTTTAGCTAAGACCAAATATGCATATAATATTCAATGTATATTTAGAAAAAAAATATATAAATTCTATATACTAAGTTCAAGATTTATTCTATTTTTAATAAAAAAATAATATTTCAGATTTAAAAATAGAATATTAATTTTATTATATTTATTTTATATATAAGTTGGTATAAAAAAATTTGTATCTCAGATAAATATTAATAAATTATTTTTTTAAAATAAAATTTTAATTCTGTTTTATTTAATTAAGTTATTAGATATTAGGATTTATTTAAATATAAAAATTTTTATTATATATCTTTTATAAAAAAA